CACATGTAAGAAATAACTAAGGAGAGCTGTTGTAAATGACTGACTAACTAGGGAAAACGAAACAAGTAGTCTCTTTAGAAAGTGAAACACAGTTGTTATATTACAAACCATACTAGTAGTAACAATAACAGACCTGTCATTCTATTTCCTTAATGAAATCTCAATCATATCAGTAGTACCAGCCGAACTATCTATGGACCTTAGATGGAAAACGTCACGAAAGATAAGTGGAAATAGTAAATTCATTAGTTTCAATATCAACTCTAAAGTTATAATATTTGCATGATCAGTTGATCGTTGAAGGTCATATCTAGACTTAGCAATAGGTTGATGAATATGATAGCGCTTAGCAAAGGCTTTGAAATATCTCGAACAGGATTCATTATTGCTGATCTGTAAATCACAACGCTTACAGATTAGAAATTGATATTCAGATGAAGTCTTGGAATAGCATTACAGATTACTGATGACTCACTCGAGCCATGATACCTATAAAAGAAACGACGAGAGGAGATAAATCAATCTGATCTTTGAAGCCTGCATTATTGTACTGTCATGAATGGAAACAAGTAGCAAAGAAGTGAACAACCATCAAAGTAGTTGAAGTAACTCATTGTGACACTGAATAATGAATAAAGAGAATCCAGACAGGAAAGCGTTATTTTCAATGTAATCGCTCACTAATCCCAAATATTCGTATTTATAGTGGTTTAAAAACGTATAAAGTCTATTGAAACATCGAACAAAATTACTTCATCAAGTGATCCAAGATTTAGAATATCAAAAGAAGATTCCATAATAACCTAAACGTTAGAAAACAGTGGGAGGATGAAAATAAATCATCGGTTAGAGATATGAGGAACAAACCAAAGCGAAGAGGTCATAATATAACAATCCAGTAATAAACATGAAGATAACTGTAACGGTATAAAGAGTACAACATAATAATGAGAGCAAAAAGCCAGATCAAAATATACTGGAGAAAAGTATTTAAGGAATGGGTACGATAGGCGGTTGTAAGTATGGCTTTTTTTCAGCTAGTCAAGTGGATCATTATTTCATCTTCTTCTCGAACCTTCTAACCATTACTCATACATCTTCCACTGTTTACAATATAAGATTACTTTATGATTTGTTCTCCTTTCTATTTTTTAGCAGTAGAGGTATTATCCAGGTTGAATAGAAAATATTAGTAGTAGGTTTACAATTACAAAAATTAGTACTCAATATTATGAACCGGAGATATTTTCACCAATAATGTTCATTTCAGAAAGAAATAACAATTCATGCATTAAGTTATGTGAAGGCGTTTGTCAAGTTTACTGCAATGATTGTAAATCCATGAAACAATATACCATCGATCGATTAAAGAAACCATCGGAATTCAGAATAAATTTAGTGAGTGCTATGCGTATTTCCTGCTTGTAATCTTCAAAAATAAGTTATCAAATGTCACTATTTGTTGGCATATTTGTAAGTCTAACTATTCATATAGAAACGTTGATACAGGTTGAGGTGTAGATTAAACTGTGCATTGTATTTTTCTATACTGTTCAATGTTAGAACCAGGCAAAGAAATAATTAAATCTTTCGAATCCCTGTTTATTAAGATCAAGTAATAATTTAGTTTAACTACTTTGAAAATCTCATCAAGAACTGGATTCCTCAAATAAATAACACCTATACATGACCTGTTCTGCTAGAACGCGCCATAAAGTGAATATTAGTGAATCTTTAGATTAGTACTTTCGGAATTACAGAAGATTTTACAATACAATGATTCATTTTAGATAAGATATGGTTTTCAAAACATGTACTCCTGCTCATTAAATCATTGATTATCTAACGCAAAAGCTAATCCCATTCATCATATCAAATGTATTGAATAACTCAGGTTAATATTACTAATCAATAAGAATTAGAATATTCTGTAAGCCAACAATTTTCACATTAAAACTAGCAAAAATTCAACGGAAATAATTATCATCACTGTTATTGGTACTGTTGTAAACTTTTAAATAATCTAGTCAATGAAGTGTGAAATAGTTAACAAATATTTATAATTCTTAAATAAATATCACTGTCTACCTATTTTAACAGTCAAATGAAATGAACTATTCTGACAGATAGAGATATAAATATATATACTGATTGGAAAGTGATGTGAACTATTGTGTTAATTCTTTGTTGTTAGTTTATGATTTAATTCAAAATTCTAAATATTTTCTAAACTCTTTAAAATGTATGTTAATATAAAAGTAATTAGTGTTTGTTTAATACAGATTGAATCTTATCAACATATAAGTAAGGTGATTTTATTCACTGATCTGTCATAGAATAATTCTCATGAACTACTTAATATTGAGCAGTAAGTGTAAAGTTTCAATGATCAATATATATTCCTTTGAAAAAATCATTTTAAAGAATGTCATGTGTACCAAACCACACTTAATCCTTAATTTGAATCGTTCCTTTATGAAATTTTTAAATGAATTTCACAAATAATATAAATTTATGCTTACATTTGATGAAAATGTTTTTAGAGATATTTTTAATTGTTTTCAAACTCCAATACAAGTTGATGATTAAAAAATATCTAAATTTATGCATATGAGTACCAGCACGGATATAGAAGGCTTGATTGGCTTTTGTCAACTTGCGTCATTTAAGAAGAAGGCGAGATATCTGTTTGCTGACTAAAGGACGGGTGTACTGCGCAGCAGTTCGCTCCATCCTACTATATGGCTGAGAAACATCGCCGTTATGAGTAGAAAACATTCGTACGTTATCAGCATCCAATTATACATGTCTTCGAAGCATTGCTCATGTATCGTGGAACAGCCAAGTAAGTAATGCTATAGTTAAGAAATGGGTTCTAGGACAGGATGGCAGGTCAGTAGATAAAGTATTGAAATTTCATCAGTTGAGGTGGTTGGGACATGTTTTACGTATGCCCAACCATCGACTGCCTCGTCTAGCTATGTTTTGTGGTGCAGGAGTAGGTTGGAAGAAAGTTGGTGGCGGACGAAAAAAACATGGCAGAAATCCATGAAGTTACTAGCAAGTGGACTGAGTCATGTTGGTAGATGTAGACTACCTGGTTGGGTTCTGCAGGACGACAGTAACCGGAGGTTAGAGACCTTGAACGACATGGCTCAGAATCGTTTGCGATGGCGCAAGTGCATCCACTTTTTGTGTTCTCTCAAATTCTAATCTTCTGAAATCATTATCACCTCTACCTTTCTATTTCTAAACTTATCTCACTAAATTATACTTCTTGAACAATATCTTTGAACCCTGATCTTCTCCACTACCATTATTACTTCTACTATCTCTACCACTATGGGATTCGAACTAAAAATTGCGTCTCTGTGCTGATGTGGTATGCGACCTGAACTGATGTATTTACGTACGGAATTCTACGTTGTACCCTCACTGATGATGAGTACCAAGATATGGTTTAAGATTCTGATAACTGTAATGTGTTGTTAAACTTTACATTTAAAAAGCATGGAAGTGTTTTATCACAGAACATCAACCTATAGTCTACAATAGTTATTCGATTGTTATTATTACTAAAATGTTGAAATTCAACTTCAACTAACATAAATTATGCCCAAAACAAATTGATAAGATAACATTCTCAACTTATTTTTTTTCGCTCATCATTCTGTGAAAAACTAATAGGACACCAAAGAAAACAATATTTCGATTATATAATATTAAAACAAAAAAAAATAAATATTACCAAACATGAACTAGTACAACATTGAATTGTTCAATGTGTCAATTTTTTGTTTGCTTTTTCTATGTACACAAGTTTAGAACGACAATATTTTAAAAAAAACCCTAGAAGAATGATAATGAAAATCATAAAAGTAAATAAAATCTTATCAGTAATTAATAAATTTTCAAATTTTTGAAGTTAAATGTCAATCTGTCAAATAAAACAGTGGAATTTTTATGTTTATATAAATGTTGACCTGGTTCACTGTCTTAAAGTTATATTCAACTTTTATTTATATGAAAAAATTTCTGCTAAATAGTACCTCTGTATAACATCTGAAATAGCAACAGAATTCATAGGATGTTCAAACGAAGTATAAATAAAGTCTAAGTGTGATAATGGTTGATGAATTCAACAAACATTAATGGTTCATGATCTAAATAGGAAATAGAAAAATCATGATCTTTGTAATGTCGTGGAGATAGCTGAGTTTCACTTCAGTCATGAAATGATCGGTATTAGGCCATCATTAAAAATCTGGAAGGACTTAACGAAAGTTTCATCCTAGTATAGCACTCATCAGCTGTGTGTGTATTCACGACCCTTGCACGCGGGAATCAATTTATGACATCAATAAAACTTAACAGTCTCTACAACCCTACGATGACAGTTATCCTGTCTTCACTAGTAACCATTTTCGTGAGGGAAGTCTCGGAGTCCTAGTAAGAAGCCTTGTCCTGTGGGATTCACCCTTGGTGGGTATGGGGCAGTTACCCCGCCGAAGACAATGGATGAGGTCACCCAATATGGAGGATTGACTGAAGTTATACATTAACACTATTAGATGCCTGCTCAACGGTCAAACGGTTAAGCGTTCCCGCACGAGACCTAGGGTTTTGGGTTCGATTCCCATTTGTGTGGTCGTAGATGAGCACTGTCGATGAACTACATGCTAAAAATGGCAATCCAGTGCTTTCGGGTTAAAACTGTGGCTCAACGGTGATAGATTCATGATTTTGATAGATTTCTATCCACTCTGGATATCCTACACAGTACTGTTCGCTCAATCATCATTCTGCTTCCTATTTGGAGACAAGTATATTCTATGGATCACTTATTCATAGAATTTACTATCAAAGCAAAGTTCCACCCATATATTACATAACAAAAAGAATGTTCATAAATATACTTTCCTTAAATCATTAATCGCTTGCCTTCAGGGAACTTATTCTATCTGACGGCTGAAGTTACGCAATTTTAGTTTGTAGAACAGTCAACCAATGTTATCAATGTTTGTAGAAACCGTACCTAAATAGTTTAAAAATCCCTGAATTAAAACCGTTGTGATTTCAAGAATAATACGTTGTAGGTGTGCCTAAATAATAGATATTAAACATCAAAATCAGCGACCGTATTACATTTCATTTGAATTTTAGGATTTATTTCGAAAATCAAACATTTATTTTTTGGACTGAACTGAAAACTTAGTAAGTTACTATATTTTGATAAACATGCATATGAAAATACTTCTCTAATAAGGTAAATCATAATATGACTGAAAATGAGAATCATATTGTCTAGTTATATCATGCGTATTAATTCACTCTGTTGGAATTTTTCAAAAATCAAATCAGCCCATATCTTTGCAGTGTTTAAAATAAATCTGTCTAGATAAACTTTTCAGTAAAAAAAAAAAAAATCACAAATTATCCATTAATCCTTAATCCTTTCATTGTTTTTAGACTATTGATCTGATACAATAATCTCAAAAATATTCTAACACACACTGACTCGTATGAAAATCTTTATTGAGTTATATGATTTGCTATGAAGCTGATGTTTTGGTAATAAACTTTTGCTGCTATACTTGTCTATACTGTAATTGAATAGTTAAATAAGAAAAAAATATTTTTAAAGAAATCTAAAATCATCAAAAACCGTCACAGTGACCTCAGCCATAGTTGATTTCGCATTGATAGCAAATTGTGTCTTCGTCTGACTTCTTGATTAACTGATTATTTGTAGATGAATATATTCTACGCTGGAATTGATCTAGATTAGTCAATGGTCCCAATGCTTCAGAGAGTGCTAACCACAATATAAACAAATATAAACGAATTACCCAAAACTAGTATTTATAATAAAAAAGCATATGGTTCCTTTATCAGGCGCTTCTAGCTGTTAACTGAAAAAACTAATTGGTTTTTAAAAAAAGAAAACAGATAGTTTTGAATACTGGATAAAGAGTTCAGTTACATTTTTCAAAATAAGGAAAGATATATTAGCTTTATAAATGATAAACTTTAAACTAGTTTATCTTGCTCACCGGTAGTTAACAAGTTCGCTAGAGTCAACACCAACAACTGAATATCATAATGGCTTTGTTCTTACCTCTCGACAAGAGAACAGTTTAATATGCTTGAAAGAAATTGTCCAATGTCTTAAATTAATCAAGAATGTGTGCTATAAAAGCTGTTCTGTTAGTTTTTCCATATGATCTACCATCTCCTACTGAAAAAACTTTAGGTTTGCTGGTGATCTCAATCTGTCTGTCTCTTCACATCCCCTTGAAATGAATGATCTCTTTTGGCCTCTTGATCGATGAACTACTGTTGATGATCTCACACTGAATCCTTCTAAATGTCAAATTTTTGATTTTAGGCCGAGATAAAAACAGAATTTATACACTCTATCGGCACTTCACAAGGTTTGTAGTATTGCAGATTCTATAATAAAAGGTATCAAAATTCATTTATCTTTGTTTAAGGTTATTCTCCAATCTCGATTGATCTCCTCATGTTTTATCGAGATTGAAGAAAGTCTGCAGTTTGACTTGTTACATGATGGGACTATACGCTTTCGGCAATACTCGATAGTTACCTCTACAATTTTTAAACTTGCATATTAGTAATTTTGCATAACTAATCGCAAAATTGGTTTACAAATCCATATATATTTTGTGTGGCACACAAATTAGATTCACATTTAAATGCTCCGAAAACTTTGGGTAGAATTTTTAGACTACTTATTTCCATTTGAATAGTTAAACTATAGAAGTAAATTTCTTTTACTTTAATATAATAAACGTTGAAAATTTGTTGATTCAAAACACTTTTCATTATTTTGGAGACTGGTACTTGATCCATTTTTGAAAAGAAATGGTTTTCTTCCAAAATAGATTTACGTTAATATAGATTATCATATGCTTTGAGATTTAGGTATAGGTAGATATAGGTGGAAATCAAAACTATCAATAGTAATAGGTTTATCAAGGAAACCAAATCCAAGATAATTGAACAGATCTGGAATTCAAGCGGTTCAGATAGGGTCCGATGCTAGTTTACATAAAAAAGTATTTATTGTACTACCATCAAAGTCTTATAAACGGATTTAACAAATTTGTAGACTGCTGGTCGGAGAAAATATCCAATATCCAATATCTTTTTCACGAGCTAGTGTAAACCAATTGTTTTCTTCGCGCTCGATTCTTGTTCTTTCGGTACGGTTCCAGGTGTTTGATAATGTACAACTGATGGAGGTCTAGCCACTCGACTGTCTAGTTCTAGTCAGTTGGCAGTTGGTTGTGAGTTTGTATGTCTTGAGATTTGAATGAAAACATTTGTTTCAGGGCAGTGGGGTTTCTGGATACCAGCAGCTATCACATTACCAGACCGGAGATCAGTTAGTTGCGATGTGGAGAGTAATAAGGGTAAAATTCTGATGCTAATATGATTACGATTTCAGAACTAAGTAATATATAGGTGAATTGAGTTCATTAACTGGTAGTAAAGATTGTGAGAGAGGAGAGGGAGATGAAACGGAGATAATAGGCGAAATAGAGAAATAGATTAAGTAAGTGATCTGAGGAGATGGCAATGATAACAACTAATCAGGTCTCAAGATATGCATCAGGCAACAGCTTTTCCAAGAGGGAGATGATAGTCCGTATGTGAGTACGTGATTATCAAGTCTCTTCTTAAAGTAGTCCAACTGAGTTGTCTGTGGTCACCTCGGCTGGGAGAGCATTCCAGGTTACGAGGACTCACAATGAGAAAACGTGTGCACGAATCTGAAGTATTCGCTCTTTGATGTGCAATCTTTCGAGGATTGCCTCGAGGGGAGTGGTGGTGATGCATCGGGTAAGATGCTCACAACCTTGGGATGGTTTTTGGCGTGCTTAATATGTTGTACGCCATAATCAATCACCTCTGATTCTCCTGTAGCTCAGTGGAAATAATCTAAGATGGTGGAGTCTATCGTGGTAAAGCTTATTTTTCAACCCTTATCACCCATTTGGTTGCTCGTCTCTGCACTCGATTCAAGAGATTTATGTCTCTTTTAAGCAGAGGGGGTGCGATGACATTGTGAAACTTCAGGTGTGGGCGCGCGTACGTCTTAAATAGGGTTAAAATAATTGCTTGGTGATAGCACGATGTTGACTTCGCATAAAATGAAGAGTCGCGTTTGCCTTGGCTGAGTCCCCTACATATTTCGGACTCGTGTCAATGCTTTTTGTGGTTATTAAACCGAGGTCGCGCTCTGAGGAGACCTTAGAGAGCGAACTTCCATTGAAGGTGTAGATCGTCTGCGTCGTGTGAAGCAGAATATGCATGACGTGGCACTTCGATTGGTTGAGTTTTAAACCGTTTTCACTGCCCATTCCTCAATAGATGTAAGGTCCTTTTGAAGCTCAGTCCTTTTCTCTCTCTCCTCTCTCTCCTCTTCCTCTCGTTCCTCAATCCTCTTTGCTGGGCGTAGGATGGTCCACTGTGAAACTCTAGATGTGGATAAACGGCAGATCGCGTGCACTCCATTTACCTTGGTACGAAATTTTCTATTCTCAAGGTATTTTCCGAGCCAAGATACGAGTGGGTTGGTGAAAGCCCATTTCCACAACCTTTTCGATTAGGCGTGTGTATAGTACTGTGTCAAAGGCTTTTGCAAAGTCGAGAAATATTATGTGCACCGGTATTTTACGGTCCAAACAGGATGTCCAACTGTCCCATGCAATGAGAAGATTAGATGCACACGACCTGTATTTCCGAAATCCGTGTCGAGCCTCATGGAATATTTTATTCCTTTCCATGTACTCCCTCATTTGTTCGTGAACCAGCCTTTCCATTACCTTTGATAGTATTGGTGGTAATGCGAACGGTCTGTAGCAGGCTGGATCTTTTCTATCCCCTCCTTTGAAGATTGAAGAGAGAGTAGCTTGTTTCCATTCAGTTGGGAGTAGATGTGACTCCAGTGAGTGCCTGAACAGGTCGCATATCGGTGAACAGAGGACTTCTGCACATTGTTTCAAGAATATGGGGCGAATTTGGTCACAACCTGGTGAATTACCTGGGCTTAAGGATTTTAGTTTCCTTAATAATAGGTCAGGAGTGATACGGATTTTCCTTAAACCGTCAGCTGTCAATGGGTTAGCGTAGTATTCCGAACATGTGGGCGCCTGGTTTAACTGATCAGAAGAGTTAGTGTTGAAGATCTCGACCATCTCGAGGTTGGTGAGGTCTTCCCCATCCGGTCGTTCTAGAGAACACAACCCTTGATTTGTAGGTTTTCTTTTGGACATGAACCTAAACGGATGCTTCGGGTCCGTTTGTATTTTGACAGCTAGCTCCATCTGAAATTGTCTCCTATCACTTCGAACTTTGGTATTGCATGTTTCTTAATGCCAAGTAAGAGCTACTATCAGAATCCTTCGAAGAGACCTTCCACTTGTGCCACGCTCTCCTCTTCGCATGTAGCTAGCGTTTAGTACCGCGTCTAACCCAAGTTCTGCTATTCCCAGGTGTGCGGTGTGACTGAGGTACATTGTCTACTACGGCGTTTTGGGTGATATCTCTCACTGTTTGCCAGTGATCATCTACTGTCAGCCTCCACCATTCCCGTGGAAATGGGGCATGTAGGAGGACCTCTCTCATTCGTGTATATTTTGCCCTAGTGTGGCAAAGGTAAGGCTTGTTTTCGTCCCGTGTGAGTGTTTCGTTTATGAGCATGTTAAACAAGACTGTGCCATAGTCAATACTACCTATTACTGTATGCACGTGAACATCCTCAATCAGGAGATGGTCATTTGTCAGCAGATAATCCAGGTTTGGGGACTTTCTTTCTTTAGTCCATCTAGTGGCACTGCATACGTGCTCAGTCAGCCCAGAGCTTCTATGGCTATACCAAGTTGTCTTCGGAACCAACCAGTGGTAGTTATACTCTGATTGCTGAGATTTAGTGATGGAGTATTGAAATCTCCAGCTAAGAGTATTTGATCAAACCCCAGGAGTTTCAGTTGTAGTATTACCTCAGTCAGTTTGCTTTAACAGGCCTTTGTACCTGAGGGAGGTCGGTAAATCTCTCCAATCAAGTATTTCGTGCCATTTGTGTGGAAACAACACCAACATGATTCTGTCACCTCAGTTATTTGGGTGTCGTATAGCCACTCGGCTCTTAAGTGGCTGTTTATACATATAGCCACTCCGCCTCCAGTTTGGTGTACCCTATCGCTTTGGAAGAGTGTCATGTCTGGCAAGCTCACTTCTTCGTCTTCAGTGTCAGGGGATAGCCATGTTTCAGTTAGGATTATGATCTTCAGATTCATTTGAGATTTCTAACAGCTTACCCCTTAGTCCTCTCACGTTGCTATAGAGGCACTTGGTGGATTGTCACAGCACCTGGTGCACATTTGCAGCAGCAGCCGTTGTCGGATTTTCAAACACGTTATTCAAATCGAGTTAGTCAGTTCTGTGGGAACTGGCCCCTGCAGGTTTTTCGGCTGTGCAGTGAGTGCAATCGTGTCTTGTGCCAGGGGTTGTTGATCGAGGCCAACTGTCAGTTTTGTGCGTTCATTGTGGCCTCCTTGCTGTGGTCTTTCAGATCTAGGTCGGCTTTTGCAACACCTGGTGTGGCTAGACAGATCGTTCCTCGAACTGTACCAAGCTTGGAGTGCTTTAGTCACGTCTCCCCGGTTCCTAAATGTCACAGCCATCAGGCGAGGACCATTCGACCGATGGTCTTTGGGATGAAAGGATGATGTCTTCAGCAAGTTGTGCCGCGTCAGGCGTTACCCTCATTGAAGGGGGTTTTCCTTTCAAGACATTTTGGCCCTTGAAAAGGCGGCATATTTTGGCTGGGACGTTGTACATTACAAGGGTTTGCAGTGTTTATCCCACTGCTCTTTGTCGAAGGCAGCCCTAAGTCCTAGCAAGCTTCCTTCCGATAATTGGACATTAAATAAAAAAATCTGTTGCCCCAGTCCTTGTGTGGTATCCGCTTGTGAGTTAGGGTGTTACTATTCCCCTTCTTCTCGTTCACAGACTAGAAAAATAGCAGCTGAATTAGGCAGCTGGACACACCGCACAATGGTTCTGACTTGGAATAATTTCGTTCGCTCGGATTTGTTTTCAGAATGACGACCAATGAATGGAGACAACTTTTTATTGCTTCGGAGGTGATAAAGTATTCCGAATATGGATTTTTTCCCCTAAATAAAGGAAAATCAGCGAGGCCACAGGCGTGCTCGAACTATTTGTCTGATTGTAGTGAAGCCCGACCTTCCCTTACTTACAGGTTTATCCTATATCTATATGAACATATCAAGTTCTGTTGACTATCTGCTAAACGTCGTTTGAGTTTGGGGAAGATGGTGGGAAGTTTATTAATTCTGTTTAAAAACAGTACTAGTTATAATTCTGATTGTTTTCAAAATGTCATGGATATTCATTTTTTGATGATAATTTAATGGTGACCGAGTCCAGATTGACTATGATCACCACTGAATACTAATTACTAATTACTAGCCCGTCACGCTGATAAAAAGTAAATCCGGGGTAAAGAATATATTCGAAGTAGAAAGAGAGCCACTTAACGAGCGCCAAGTTATGAATGATGACAACACCTCAGAAACAGGAAGCTGAGTATAAGTGTTTTTTAGTAAAGTTAAACGAAAGGAGTACGATAATTAATGTTTCCTTTATGGAGATGGCATGACAAACTTATTTTGTAAATAGTTTTTGGTACTATTCTGTTAATTTTCACAGCCTGTACATTCACTAAGAAGTTGTTGTACATTCTGTTTAAGTGTGTGTCCTTGAAAATATCAGGCGATTCAACTGCTCCACGTTTCCGTTCTGTGTACACATAGCACGGCACTCACTGCCTGATCCTATCAAATACACTTTATACACACGTCTCATGTTCTCAATTGTTCATTAATACGATAATTGGATCCTAATACGTATATTGTCTACGTTTATAGACTGCAGTCATACGTATATGCTACTTTACGGATATGTACATCATTTAGATTACTAACATTTCTATAATTGTAGAGTTATGGTACCGAACACAACCGAACACGTACAAGCAGCCGTATAAAGTAACGTCCTTACATATTTATTGTGTTTATTACATTTAACTGATATATTTCAATGACTTTGTTAATATTTTCAAATAATATATGGTTTGGTCCGCCATAATTAATTTGTGAGCCCACGATTATGCTATTTGTTGTACTACAATAGTTTTTTT